TGGGGTATCCTAAAGTTTAACCAACTAAAATCGCATATCGTTAATTTGCCAAGCAATTACATGAATACCAGTGTTCAAACATTCCAAAATTCCTTTCTCCTAGGAGTAGTTGTAAAATAGGAGACTTACATTAGCTTAAAACCATGATGAACAAAGCATTATAAATAGCAATTGCCTCGACAATCTGGTGCTCTGTACCAAAACCATTTTCACTGGACCAATCTGCCTTAACACTAAAACAAACTGGTACTCAATACACATAAATCAAGATCACTCATAAATCAAGATCTTTAAATCACAGCAAGGTTAAAGGCAATCTATTTTGATTCAAATGTATAAAAGAAAATGTAGACCCCTGGGAGCAGTCCAATTTAAGGTTTTGACAAATTAACACGTTTGCTATTCAGTCTCATCCCAGATCTAATTTGTAACCAAGCAGTTACACCCTGCAAAACTGCTGACCACATATTCTAAAATCAATACCATATAAAAGCACAAACATTAACCATCTGGTGTTCCCTTATTGCAGGAATATCCTGATGTAAATGCACAAAGAAAATATTTTTGTTTTGCTGAAAAGAAACAGCACGCCTGATTTTTTTGATGAAGTAACAGAGAAGGTAGATGAAAGTAGTGCAGTTGATGTAGTTTATATGGATTTTCAAAAGGCGTTTGATAAAGTGCCACATAAGAGATTTGTAATCAAGATAGAAGCCCACGGTATTAAAGGGACAGTGACAGCACGGAGACGCAACTGGCTGGGAGACAGAAAGCAATGAGTGGTGGTGAATGGTTGTTTTTCTGACTGGAGGGAAGTGTGCAGTGGTGTCCCCCAGGGGTCAGTATTGGGACCACTGCTGTGTTTGATTTATAGAAATGACCTGAACTTGGGTATAGGGAGTACAATTTCCAAGTTTGCAGATGAATCTAAGCTAGAAAAAGTAGTAAACAGTGAGGAGGATAGAAGCAAATGGACATAGACAGACTCATAAAATGGGTAGACATGTGGAAAGTGAAGTTTAATGTGGAGAAATGCGAAGTGATGCATTTTGAAAGGAAGAATGAGGCCATATAAGCTGATGGTACAGTCTTAAAGGGGGTGAAGGAACAGAGAGAACTGGGGGTTCATATAAGTAAACCTTTGAAGGTGGCAGGACAGGTAGATAAAGATGTTAAAAAAGCAAACGGGTTATTAGGCTTTATAAATAGGTGTATAGAACACACAAGTCAGGAAATTATGATAAACCTTTATAAAACACTAGTTAGGCCTCAGCTAAAGTACTGTGTTCAGTTCTGGGCCCACACTTTAGGAAGAATGTCAAGGCATTGGAGAGGGTGCAAAGGAGATTTACCAGGATGGTATCAGGAATGAGGGACTTCAGTATCAGGAGAGGCTAGAGAAGCTAGGATTATTCTCCTTGGGGCAGAAAAGGTTAAGAGGAGACTTAATAGAAGTTTTCAATATATGAGGGGATTTGATAGGATGAACAAGGGGAAATTATTTCCACTGATGGGTGGGTCAGTAACCTGAGGATAGTTGTTAAAAGAAACAGAGGGGAAGTGAGGATAAATTTTTCACACAGTGAGTTGTTTGGATCTGGAATGCATTGCCTGAAAGGATGGTGGAAGCCGATTCGATAACAACTTTCTAAGAGAGAAGTAAATAATTATTTGGATAGGACAAGTTTGCAGGGCTATGGGAAGAGAGTAGGGGAGTGGGATTGAATTGAATAGCTCTTTTCAAAGAGCCGGCACAGACACGATTGGCCGAATGGCCTCCTTCTGTGCTGGAAAATTCTATGATTCTATGATCAAATGCAAGGAATTTTCATTTATATTTCATTTATATTTAATTTACATTTATACTGAGAACTGTGATACAGATTAAGCCGTTTAGTCAAGGACCCTCTACCCTCTGGAGCTCTCTCCCAAATACTCTTTGCCTCTCCCCCCCTCCCCCTTCTCTCTCTTAAAGGCCTTTTGAAAACCTTCCTCTTTGGCTCTGGTCATCTTTCTCTACCTACCTCCTCTATCCTCCCTGATCAGTGACCAGCACCATCACTGCTAAGTGTTTTGAGATATTACCCTACGTGAAAGGTGCAATATAAAGCCAAGTTGTTGTTCTGAAATAAAATAATTCTATTTAATGTTTTTTTTAGTAATGCTTTAGTCAAGGACTAAACAGCTGTAAAAGTAATCTAAACTATGTTTTTGCATTTTGGTTCTATGGAGCTGCTCTGGGGCAAACATGGCTGCTCCCTCCAACATACATCTCTAAATTGGCCCAGGAATGGAGACACCAGATCCCAGTTAATGTAGAAAAGCAAGTATTCCTTGCTACTTTTATAAATGTACTTTTTCCCTCTATATCTTGGAAAGTGTTTTGAACAGAATGTACTCCCTCTAGACTTTTATTTCTATTTCAGTTTGGTTTAGCTTTAAGATTGTGATTTGTTTGAAACCAAAAAAGGTGTCTGCCCAAACTGTGAAATGATTTAGTGTGCCATTATTTTTGTTCCCCTGGTGTTGATCTTCATTTGCCAGTAATCTACTGTATCTACAGTCTTATCACATTCATCAAAAGCATACATGATTCTAAACTCTATTAGGTGGCATTCATTATTGGAAGCAAATGTTTATATAAAAACATAAAACTTTTCTTTGTAATTTTGTAATTCTGTGTTTAAGAAAGCATTTGACATGTATAGAGTGTATTCAGCATTATTGGTTGGCTGTCTATGGCAATCATAGGCCGATGCTTTTGTACCCTTCTGTGCTAAATGTATAATCATCTGGCTTATCTTTATCGCGTGCCTTCTCAGGGGCCCCTTTCTGAGTTACTACAGATCTTAGCTACATCCGTCTTTGCTCCTTCTGAGTTTATTCTACGGTTTGGATGCACTCATTACGCAGGTGCAAACAATCACACTCGGACTAACCCGAGCCAACAATAAACACCAGTAAATTGCTCTTTACTCCACAATAAAAGGATGGAAATATATCAGCCACCACACCAGCTCATTTTCCAATTAACAAATTCGTTTTAATTCCAAATGCTTTACAAATCTTATAAATTTAAGTATATATATATATTGTAGTGGGCACAATGACTTCAGGGCAGGCAGGTTTGAGGGGTGGAGCCCATGCCTTTTTCAGAAGGTGCGACACCCCCATCTCTCTCTTTCTCTCTCTTGCTGGTGCTGGGCTGAGAAAGGTGGAGACCGTAGCCTCGGCCAGGTAGCATGAGGATTAGGCCACATGGCTAACCCGAGGTTGGTTAATTGTTAGAAGAGGGAGGATTGTGAGTGCACGGATCTGTAAGAACTGTGGCAGGTGCCCAGGTACCTGCATGTCTCTGCAATTGCTGTTTTGCTGTTGTTGTTCCAGGTTTTCCCTCACCTGTGATTAAACCTGTATTATAATGAAGGCCTCCATGTTTATCTGCCTGGCTCAGTGGTCCGTGCTACATTATGTACAAACACAGACTTTTAAAGTAACAAGTAAAAGCATTAAACAAAATAGCAAAAATGGAAAGTTTTACCTGCAATTCTGTTTTATTTTGCAAATGGTACTTTTCTTCACAGACAGAAAAACAATTTCAAACGATCAGGTCGGGTCTCCCGTTTCTCTCTCTCTATACTGTCCTTTCTCATATCTGCTCTATTCCCAAGTCCCAAAGAACTGTTCAGCTTTGGTAGTCTCCCCACACCTGGTAAAACAATGTTTTCCAAACTTCTCCCAGACATAGAGGGACCACCGTTGTCTGCATGTGACATTAGTTTTTGATAAACTCACAACAGGCTTGGCAGATTTTTTTCTTTTTTAAAATATTGTCACACCTTCTGATGAAAACCTTATTTGATTTTCAAAAGAATTCCTTTGTTGTGATGTGAACATTTGGAGTCTTTGATTCTAAAGGAGACTAGAGCAGATATGTGTAAATTGTTAGCCAGTCTTTTGAGTTTCTGTTTAACTTCACCACCAAAGAGTTTCTTCACTATCAAGCAGGATCTCAAGCACAGGATCTCAAGCACAAACGTCTATGTATCAGAAGGCAATATTTTTATTCTTAGCCAAATAACACAATATCATAAAATGGAGCTTGGAATGCATTTTATGCTCCTTTCCAAAGCATCAGATTATGCCAATAGCTGGAGGCTGCTTAATAATAACCACTGTGTACATGTAGGACTTTGTGATGTTCTGAAGTTGATATATTTTCCAGTGCTCAAACGTTTCACAATGACTTTGTTGCTCCAAAGCATGATTGCAATGCAGCTTCATGATACTGATATTGCATCAAGTTTCTTGGGCTCTTTTGGTGAACTAGGTTCCTGGTAGGTTGGTGTTGATCATTCTTTTTGAAACCGACAATGAAATGATGAGTCTGACATGTAAATAGGAGGAAAGAGATTAGAAAAATCAAGCTTGCTGAACAGTTTATCCATGCTTCATAGGACAACCTTTGATCCTTGTTTTAAAGGATTTTCACTCTTGGAGGTGTTTCGGAAGTCCAATAAAGGGAAATGATTCACAGTAAAATTTATGATTAGTCAGATTGTCATGGTCTTCAATTCTATGTTTCAAATCAGCCAGTTTGGAAAACTAAAATCTGGAATTCACTGCACGTCAAATTATATCTTAGTAATTGAAAGATCTAAGTAATGGTAATCGGATGAAAGCCCAGTAGAATTTCAAAAGTTTTATGTAATATTTTAAACTGGACTGCAGGCATGTTAGCAGTCGATGTGCTTTTTCTTAGGATTTAATCCATGTTGGTATAAATATTTTTTGCCTCCTAATGTCTAGCCTGAAGGTAGCAAAGTCCAAAACACTATTCAAGAATAAATCTGTTTTATTTGATGTCGCAAAACTCTTGTGTAAAAAAAACAATAAAGAACATTACTTGTTTTGTTCCCTTGTAGGAAGAATGTTTGAAGCTTTATAATTTTACCACGTGTAGCAATGGAAAAGAAACAAGCCTCCTTTTTTACGTGCAGGTTCTTGATTGGACGAGAGAAACCTGGCCAGAGCAGTGAAGTCGCTCAATTGATCAGTCAGACTCTAGAGCAGGAGCGACGTCAAAGAGAGCTACTAGAACAGCACTACGCTCAGTACGACGCAGATGATGATGAGGTAAAATGAATATCACAAAATATATTATTATTTGATCTAAAGTTCCTTCTCTTTTCCCTAACAATGTTTGTACATTTTATTTATCTTATAATTGGATGATTATAGCTTTCGCCATGATTCCTAAAGTCATGCTCAGGTATATAGTTTTTAGATGTAAAGGATCATAAAACAATTTCCTTGGAAGGCTGTTTCACAGTTCCTTAGTATAATTGCAGGGAATTGTTTTGAGCTGGTTCGATTCTGCAGGAATTTAGATGAATTATTAATCCAATGTTCTATTCACACCTTCACAGAATCTCTGCTCTTGGATTTTATAGCCTGATGTTGAGGTTGCTGAGAAAGCTAACAACAGATGTTTTTCATTTTGCAATTCCAGATTTAAAGAATTTTAAATCTTATTATTTTAAAATTTCAAACTTGTACTTATTTAGTACTACCTGTACCCATTGCAGCTACGTTTGCAACCAAAGGATCCAATATGGAATGTAGATTGACAGACAGATAGACATTTCATCTTTATCTATACTCATCTGGGAGGACTCCTTTTAGGAGGACTCAATGGGAGGACTCGGTGCTTTAAAAATGTAATTGTGTTGTCGTTGCCAGGACTTAGCTTTGTCTGTGTGCTTTATTTTTTTCACGCCGCTTGGCTACGTGCGTGTTCTGTGACAAGATACCATAGTGCCATGGTCAGCCGGTACGGCCACCAGATGTAACTGCAGTGCGTGCGTACATACGTAGGTGCTCTGCGACGCACGATGCCACAGCGCCACTTTGACTCGGCAGCCACAAGGTGTAACTGCAGCCAAAAACTGAAAATAACTCATGAATGATAGGAGATATCCGAAAACAAATATGCCTATGTCACTCCCAGGCGCAAGACCTTTCAGATGAAGTATAAATCGCGTGTTTACTTCAATCGCTTATTGAGATCTTTCTTGAAGCAATATAAAAAANTGGATGCTGCTTCTAAATCCCCTCAATTGCTGTATGTTACAGATTAAACTTGTGTATATTAAATTAACCTGTGATATATAAGTAACACTGATGGACATTTAAGGAAAAATAGAAGTGTGAGGTATGAATATTTTTGTTACTACTGTGAATTCCAATAATAGAGTGCAGTCATACCTGCAAACAATCAAATGGTTGCAATCTATTATTTCAACTAAATAATGGTAATAATCTCTCCATCCCAACATTTCTCCCTCTTTTAAGCATTTTGGGAGCACATTCTATTTCAATAAATATCTTGTGAATTTCCACATATACATGGGATGCAAGGAACTCTGGTTTGGATACTTTTAAGCATGGTGATGAATTTCTGCACCCAGCTAACCAAAAAAAAATAAGCATATTTACCCATTCACTAAACGTGTAATGTTTTATTTTTAAAGAAGTACTATTTTTAAAATTTTATTTGGTTTAGTTTTGGTTCAATTTAGGGCAGCCACTCTACTGAAAATGTGACTTGAAGTAAGCAATTAATATGGTGTCTAGAATAAACTAACAAGCAAAATTTGTATTTCTGTCTAAAATTAACCAATATTAACATCAAAAAGCAATTTCAATTACATTCTATCTTTGGGAAACAGCTTTAATATTACAATATCCACCAATGATTGGGTCACTGGCTGGGCAAAGTTAGGTTATATTGTATTTCCTAGAGTTTAGGAGGTTAGGGGGCAAGCTACTTTTGTACCTCAAGGTATTTTTTGAAGGGGATCGTGAGGTTTAATTTTTAGCTCATTTTCATTGGCTTATCTCTATTCAGAACTCCAAGGAGGGAGAAATTGTGCATCTTGCCATTTCATAGTCTGTATTGAATTGCTTCAGAAATCATTTTTCTCCACGAAATACCCAGTCAATACACTTTACAGTAAATCCTGTGACGCACTTTGAGGCGTCCGCCCGACATGAAAGGCACTATATCAAAAATGAAAAGATTATTGCATGTGTCTGACCTATGCTCTTTGTAGTACGCGTCCTATGGAGTATAAATACTTTGTAGTGCTACACCTATTTGCTTGTTCGCTCATTCATAGCAATTTACTCCAATATGGTTTTGTTTGATTTTATTTATTATCAAAATGTGTAACTTGTTCTAAATTAAGCTCCAGCTTATCATAAGTACAACAATTTTGACAAGATTACTAAGTAAGGTCTTTGAGATTTGTATTTAATACAGCAAAGCTTTCAACAACAACAACAACTTGCATGTATATCGTGCCCTTCACACGGTGTAGCGTCCCAGAGCACTTCATCAGACAAATAAGATTATGCCTAATTGAGCTGAATTTGGTCTTCGGAATGGTCATCCATGTTCCAACTCATAGCGAACTATCAGTTCAAGCTTTCAAATTCTGATCATAAAATATAACTGAATATTCTGAAGGGGATCCAACTCCAGCAGGATATCCCCACATCTTTCCTTTGCACAGATGCTTCCCTTTAGAATGAGAGGCTTATCTGAGGGGAAAACGGTTCATAGATTCAAAACACAGGAGGCAAACTGGCATGTAACCAGACAAGGTTCAAATATTGTTTAGCTATATCTTCAACACTGTAAATAATATTTAAAGGTAATTTGGATCTAAAATCACAGCAATGATAAGGTACATTAATTGTGGGGAACACCTGAGTCCTGGCCTATGATTAGCTTTGCAGTTCCATTGTTTCTCTGATTCTAATGTTTCTCTTTTTTAAAAAAAAATCAAGTGCAACAAGATGCTCGTACTTCTCCCTTTCCTTAAATGATTTTCCCTGGTGAGGTCGCAGACTCTTCTAGCTTTGCTTGGCTACTTGCCTTTATATTGTTTCTTTGTCCTAAATTTTTAGTGGATTAGTGTTCCATATGTGAGAGATGACAGTGCCATGAATGATGAATTTCCTGCATTGTTTCACCTTCAGCATCATTTCTGAGTTACAGCTTTTTTTTCTAACCTCACAAGTGACAAGTGGAGCAGTTTTTTGTGGAATGGTGATGGGAGGTGAAATTGACCTGTAAGTGCAGGCTTATAAAATATTGAAATCTGTACCTGTGAGCTTCTGCTGTATTTGTTAGAATATAAGAAAACATTGAATGAGAATAGACTGTTCAGCTTGTTCTTTCCATATTTTATGCAAAACTTATGCTGGACTTAACATCTTTCCCCACTTTTTCCTGATGTAAGTTCTATATACAATAGAACTTCTAACATAGTATTGGGCTCCATAAAATCCCAGGCAACAGTGTAACGGAGCACAACTGCGGTCAGTGTTTTTGCATTGTGCCGTCACTGACCATGTAACTTGTGATGCCGCAGGGCAGGAAACTGCATCGGGACGGGTTGTGTTTGAAATTTGTATGATCTCGTGATTTGAAGTGAGATGAACATCCATGAAGTCGGAGCTTTCTGTGCACATTATGTGCCCGCAAAATATACAGTCAATTCATTTTAGAGTATATTATGTGAAGTGCTTTGAGACGTCTCAAAGACTTGGTAAGGCACTAAATCAAATGCAAGGATTATTTATATATTTTTTCTGAAGTACTGTAAATTGTCGGTAACACCCCAATCCCGAACCCAAATGTAAATCGACATTATAACAAAGAGCATTATAATTGGGTTTTACTGCAGATATTCTCTGAATCCTTACTTAAACAGAAACTCCAAAATATTCAAACTCAAGCTTCCTTCCTTGACAATAGACAATATTCCCTTTCCCTATGGTCCCAGCAGCACAGAAAATCTTGTGTTCTATTCAGTATTTATTCATTTCATTCTGTATTTTATAGCCTTCAAACAGGTATTTATCCAATTTGTGTCTGAAGAAGACAATTAATATATCACCAGATGCTTTTGTTGGGCTTTGTTACACATATCCACTACTTTTGGAAGCAGAAAGCCCAAACTAGGATATGAACTATGGACCTTCAAATTAAATGGTTGATGCTCTTCTGAGTAAGTTATCCAAGCTGACGTTATTCATAAATCCCTTTATAAATCCCTTTTTCAAAATTACCCTAAAATGTAGCAAATCTTTGGTGATTTATGTTTTTATTCATATTCTCCATTTTATCTGGGGCAAGTTCAGTTTAAAGCTATCTTGGATTTCCTTTCTAGAAGATCCTTTCAAGCTCCTAAGAGGATTATACTAGCATTGCTCAAAGCTGTGTGTGTCTAGTTGCATTCAGAAGATTTTTTTGAGACTTTATAGGCATTCTTCACATTTATTTTTTTAAAAAATGATCCATACTGGTTAAACTGGCAGCACTTTTAAACCATACCAGATTTTCATAAATTGCAAGATGTGCTGAAATTTATGCATGTGAACATTAACTCTCCTCCACTCTTCATCAAACCTAAGGAATTTTGCTCAGTCAACATGCATATGGTCTATGATCCACAGAATTTTGTTCTGCTCATCAGGGCAGGATTGCTTGGATCTATACAGGTTCATCGGTGTAGAGCACAACTTCAGGACTGCCACCAGGAGAAATTTCTATATACAGAGGCTAGTAACTGTTGGAACAGGTTACAAGGATGAATGGTAGAGACTAGGATAACACACTCTTTTAAGAAACACGTGATTCTGTAATGAAGACAGTAGAGAAGAATGAGATCACATGAGCCAAAGACCTTCTTTATCTGAGCCTTGTCTTGTGATCTTAATGCACAATCTCAATGTGTAATTTGAAGAAACCATTATATTAAAGAGTGTGTAAAAAGTGCACCGGATTAGAATGAATGGCTCTCGTGGGACAGCTAGCATTGGTGGTGACACAGATAATCAAATGACCTACTTACAGGCTCGAAATTCTGTGCAATTCTCTATCAACAAAATACAACAACAAAATTACATTTATAGAGCGCGATTCACGTCGGGAGGACGTACCAAAGCTCTGAACAGTCAGGTATCGGGGCCCGAGCATGGGGGAGGGGTGGTGTAGGTGTGAGGGAAGGCAGAGAGGTGGGAGGGAGACCAAAGGCACGGTCGAAGAGAAGGGTCTTGAGACC